TTTTTCATACATTAAGAAAAGTTTATTAAAATGTATACCAAAAAATTGATAAAATACATGAAATTGTCAAATTTTTTGAAAAGTATAATTTATGCAAATTAACTCAAGAAGAAAGTCATAATAGCTTTATATCTGTAAAAGAAATTGAGGCGTGAAGATGTAATTTAAAGCCTTATCATAAAGGAAAATTCAGGATTTCCAGCTTCCAAATAAGATACACAACACTAGAAGTAGTGTGTTCTCGAGCTAACAAATAAAATAATTTAAAAAATGATAGATGTTCATGAATCCTTCAGAAAGCTGAGACCACAAGTCAACCTGCTAATCTGAAATAAAAGGACAAACAGCTGCCTCAAAGTTGAGACAGTACCATTTCCCTTGGAGCAGTGCATAGAATGCACACTGGCTGGCATGCAGAGATTTAAATTTTTCATTGTTTCAAACAAATTATTAAGAGATTGAGTATAGTTTAGTGTGAGAGCCCAGAGAGCCTCAGACACTCTTCTCTTTGGATGCTCACTGTGTGTTCGTTAGAAAGATTGAAGGAAAGACTAGAGGTCAGAGGAAGCAGGCATGGAGAAAAGCATGACCATCATTGTGGGAAAGGCAGAAAGCTCCATTTGAATGCCTCAGACCTACAAACAAAGCATTAGTCTGTTGCAGGAAAGGTATCACTGTTATCCCTAAAGAAAAAGTGAATGTCTATTGCAACTTGGGAAAAATGAAAAGGAAAAACAAGAAGCAGCAGCAAGACAAGACTTCTAGCATGAAAGAATGGGAGATTGTCCTGAAACCAACTCACTACAGTTCAGCTACATCAAGGGATATAGAGAGCTCTACTTCTGAGACCCAGAGGCATAGGACCTGCCTAAGACTGAAGCTGGACAAAGCACAGAAAAACAACTCCCCATACACACACTCCAACATCATATCTAAGCACTGAATAACAACAGCAGTTTACCATTGTTAAAAGGCAGGATATGGAGAAAGACATTTTCTCTGAGGTATAGTAAAGAGAAAGCCTATAGCTGAAAATGGGGCAGACAATGAAAAAACTCTAGTAAATCAGTCTCTTACCTGAGCAAAAGATGATGCCAAAAGAATGTGAAACTGGAGATGCACTGAAGGTAAGCATAACAACAAAACTCAAATCCAGTTCAACTATAAATTGAACTGACTGAACTCCACTCACTGAAGATCCAGCAGATGAAGATATGTATCCATCTCTACATATATTATTATTTGTGCTATATACAATATCCTGCTTTCAAATCCAAATTATAAATTATGCAAAGAAAATAAAAAAGTAAGAAGGAAGGAAGGGAAGGGACTGTCAAGAGACCAAATCTAAACCAGGTTCAGAAATTAACCAGACATTGGAACGATCCAGGAAACTTTTTTTTTTTTTTTAGTAAAAAAGACTAGTACTAGTACTAAAAGCTGTAGTTAGAAAAGGTGGACAACAACACATGAACAAATGAATTTTAGAAAAAAGATGAATAAACTATAAAATTGAAATAATTAGAAATCAAAAATAAAAGCAATTACCAAGATAAATGATGACTTTCATAGGCATATCAATAGACATAACACAGTCAAGGGAAAAACTTAAATAAACCTGAAATAAGTCAATGTAAATTCCTGAACCAAAACACAAGGAGAAAGAAAAATGAAAAAAAAAAAAAAATAAAAGATTCTGACCATCCAAAGCTATGGGATACTTTTTTAAAAAATATTTTTTAGTTATATATGGATGCAGTATCTTTATTTTGTTTATTTACTTTTATGTAATGCTGAGGATTGAACCCAGTGCCTCACACGTGGGAGGCAAGCACTGTACCACCGAGCCACACCACAGTCACCAATGGGACACTTTTTAATGGGCCTAACATCTACATATTTGAAATCTCAGAAAAGATAAAAGAATTATTGGAAGATGTAATTGAAAAGAATTTTCCAAAGACAATGAATAACATCAAAGTTTAGATCCAAGAAGCTTAGAGAACCCCAGGCAAAATAAATTTATAAAAAGAAGAAAACAAATCACCTAGAAATTCTGACTTGAAAATGAAAAATGAAAAAAATCCTTAAAGCACCTGGGTGTAGGGGAGACACATTACATATAGAGGAATAAAGAAAGGACACACAGACTTTATGTCAGAAACAATCAAACCGGAAGATGATGGAGTTAACATCTTTAAAATGCTAAGGGTTGAAGAGAAAAATTGTCAACCACATTCAATCCCCAATGAAATTATCTATCATAAAGTCATTTCAAATAACTGAAAACTGAATTATCAATAAAGCTTCACTAAAAGAAATTTTAAAGAAGATTGTTTAGGTACAAGGAATATGGTGCCAGGCAAAAACTTACTCAACATAAAGAAATGAAGATCCCCAGAAAAATGTTAAAATGGAAATTAATATAAAATAGTTTGGGGAGCATAAATGAAGACAATTTTGTTGTTATTTTGCACAATGCATAAAATTAAAAATATAGTAACAATAAATACAAAATGGAGGTAGGAGTTGGAAGTTTACTGTTGAGAGTATTTAAGATTACAGTCAGGCACTCCATGATTCAGTCTATGATGGATCATGCAGACTGTCATGGACCTGTAAGACTATAACACCTAGTGATGTTATAGCCATCTTAGTCTTAACACTGAGTCTAAACACTTGGATGTTTGCAGGATGACAGAATTGCCTTATAAGGCATTCCTTAATGATACCTTGCCGCAGTCTGGCTGGGCACAAATGCCGCAGTCTGGCTGGGCACACAATCACGAGCCACCACACAGCTTGTAGATTCAAACAGCAACTCTTTATTCCCGAACTCACACCAGCCGTCTACAATCACGTTCTGGGGAAATCCACGTTCTCTGCCCAAATCCACGTTCTCTGGGCTTCTATCTCCAAAATATACTGTCTGAATCCCGTGAGAACTCAAGGGGAACTCAGGCAGCAGGATACGCCCTATTCCCAGCAGGAATAATCTTAAACCTTAAACCTGGAACCTAAACTGGGAACGCCCTAAACACGATTATCTTAAAACCGGGAACACCCTAATCTGCCTTGGTCCTTGAGCAAGGTCACCTACATTCAATGTCGCTGCAACATGTCAGCAACATGGGGTACGCTGGCAAGGAAATTGTCATACCTACTTGGCTAATGGCTCCCAGCAATACCTGTTCTTATTTGGTACATGACTGTGTATGTAAATCATAATACTATTGCCTGCAGGTAGATTGTGATTAATTAAAAATATGTACTATAAACTTTAAGGCAAGGAGCACCAGACTATATAGCCTGTGTACCAAATCAGCCCATTTATGCATGATTTTGTGGAACTGTAGAATTTTACTGAAATCTCTTGATTTCCCATTAGCTACTGCAATGTGGTGTTTTGTGGTAAAGCTTCAAGTGAACTGGAAATGGAATGCAGCTCGGTAGATGGAGCTTGAGTCAAGAGCTTCTTCCTCACCTCTAATGAGCTTCACAGTCTCTCTCACAGAATCTTCACCACTTCCCTTTATGCCTCTGCTCTGATGGCTATCCTACTAACTGGGCTCCTCTGCCTATGGTATCATTTCCGTTTTCTTACAAGTCTGTCTTGAAATAACTTCAGCGTGCCACGGCTTTCCAATTCTATCTCATGGCATCATTTATAGATTCTTCTCCTATCTAGCTCTTAATTTCAACTTCTGTTTCACAAAACAAGACTATTTGATCTAGCTTATCTTTTCTTGACAGTTTGTTTCATAGGTATCTGATAACCTAAAGATATTTTGCTCTTGCAACAGATGTCCATTCTTATCCAAACATCAGTAGCTTAATTATTAGTCCAGTTCTTGACTATTTTGGCAGAAATTTCTCTGGATGAAGAATTTTTCTTTTCAAAGGAAAGATGCTCCACATAATAAGTATTCAAGGTCTGGCTATGTCAGTGTACTTTGCATAGATTTTAGTCCATATTCTAATACATTACCTTGTTTTAACAAACCTTGTCTTTTATAAATTAATTTTTGGTAGTTAAAGAAACACATTTTGGAGTGAAGTCAATTTTTATAGTATTCCTCATATAACCTTTCTCATCTAGAAATAGATATTCTAACTAATTCTCAGTTTAAATATAAACACTTGAGTTTTCTATCCACAGTCCAGGTAAGCTGTGGGAAACAGACTTAAGGTATTGAATTTCTAAATCTCAGAAGTTAGATCCTATGTTCCCTCCTAAGTTCTCCAAACATTTTTTTACATTTAGAAATTTCATTTTTTTATTAGTGCATTATAGTTATACATAATAGTGACATTCGTAAATGCATACAACAATTTGCTCTAAAACACTTTTGATGGTACTCACTTCAGGACCCTGGCCTCTAAATGGAGCTTTACCTTTTGGGAATTTCTGAAAGTCCATATCATAAGGAAGAATAAATGAAGCCAATGATATCTCTGGGATAATACTAGTTACCCTGACTTTGCTCAAGAAGTTCCATAATGGAATTGAAATTTTCTCTCCTTAGAGGATACCCTCCAAAGGCAGGAGTAGACACACATCACCTGTGCTCTCACATTAGAACACTTGATTTACATTAATTCCTGGATTTGATGACTTGCCTTAGCATTCTGCAAGTTATAGTGAAAATCCTAGCCAGTTCCCAGGATTGAAACCATACCCTTCTAAACTGTCCTCACCACACAGTCCTTTTGGCTTTCAATAATAATCCACAAATGGGCTCAGACGTGCCATTCCTTTGTATGTAATTAGGTGAATCTGGAAATGAAAAGTTAGGTGTGCTAAAGTGGGGAGATGGGTAGAAGAAGGAGGAAATGAAGAAAAAATAGCAAATCTGAGGTCATCAAAGTAATTTCATACTTGATGCTAGTGTTTGGATTTCTAAAAGAAAGGATGTTTGGCTAAGAAAGAAATCAGTCATGATTCTTAGAAGGGAGTTGTTTCTTTCAGCATTTAAAAATGTTTTGTTTTAATTTTTAAGATGATTATAGATCTTGGGGCATTCAGAAAAGTGAACTTTATAAACCAGAACAAACTTATCATCCCCCAACTGTGAAATTTGGAAATTCAACTACCTTTCAGGATGACTATGTTCCTCAGGAGATAAAACCGAGGCAAAGCTTTAAGCCCTTCTCTGTGGTCAAGCGTTCTACAGCCCCTTTTAATGGTGATACAAGTCATCGCATTGATTATGTACCTCATCAGCTAGAAATCAAGTTTGAAAAGCCAAAAGAAGTTTACAAGCCAACTGACCAACCTTTTGAGGATCTCACAACTCACCGGAATGACTTTCAGGGTCTTGTTGGTGAAACTGCAAAAATCTGCCGACCTGCCCACACCAGGGTGACCCAAAGTGCTCAATTTGAAGGAAACACTGAATTCCGGGAAAGTTTCCAACCATGGGAAATCCCACCACCAGAAGTCAAGAAAGTACCAGAGTATGTGCCCCCTACAGGCAGCATGCAGTTAAACAGCACAAGCCACCTTGACTATGTTCCCTATCAGGCCAACCGTGTTGTTCCCATCAGGCCAGTTTCTCACAGAAGAAAAAACAATTTTCCTTTCCAAGGAAAAAGCACCATGAAGGAAGATTTTCCAGTATGGGAAATTTGTCGTCAAGGGCTCATTAAGCAGCAGCAGCAGATTCCCAACCCTTCTGGAAAATTTGATGGTTTGAGCACTTTCAGATCTCACTATGTGCCACATGAATTGATTCCAACAGAGAGTTGCAAACCTTTAAATGTTGTTCTTAAGAGTTCTGTTCCATTCGATGATATCACTATGTATTCTATAGAGTACACACCAAAGAAACAGGAAATCTGCCCAGCTAGCTATCCCTCTCCTCCAGGTTATATATTTGAAAATACAAATTCCCAAGGCCATAAATTCTTCCGCAAGATCACTCCTGCAGCGAAAGCCTCCTAATCATCAAATTATACTTAAAAGGAAGCTAACTACAAGGTATTGATTTTTCAAGGGAAAACCTGATTTTTATAGTGAAGAAACTATAAGATAAACATGATTTTTCAGATTTTTAAACAAAATTGGAAAATGTATTATAGGAGATCAGAATCTTAAAATCAATTTTTTACTGATATTTTAATCAAGATTGTGTTTAATCTGCATTTCTGAATGTTGAATAATGTACATTTCCATCTGAACTACTTTAATATTTAGCATACTGTTTGATATTTTATCCTTAATCTATTATCATTTGCACTTCTGTTTATAATTATGGCAATTATGTGGTTATAAAGGTCATATACCAGTTACCACTTATCAAGAACATTGGGACCATCTACAGCAACACTGAAAACAACAACATATGGATTTCTCTTCCAAAACAGTACAATTCAGTTTCCTCAGACTTTAAGGCACCCAGGTAGTGTACGCCAAGTCAAATTTTAGGGCAGTGCTGGAGACCACTCCTCACTACACTGAAGTTAGTAAGAAACATTGCAACATGACAGCTTTGGGGGGCTGGAAATCAGAGCACATGAGCTCAAATCCTACTGCCATCAATTTCTATTTGTGCCACCTTAAGCAGGTGCCTCATGTCTCTGAGCTTCTTTGTCTTCATTTGTAGAAGAATATCTCTTCTGCCTACCACACTGTTTGTTTTGAGCATCAGATGACATGATGCATCTTAATCCATAAAATAAAAGTACAAATGTAAGCAAGGAATTGTTAATAAATCACTCAATTGCGTTTGTATATTTTCACCTTTCCAAATAAGGATAATTTCCTATTCAATCATCATTTCCTGGCATGTAGTAAAGATTGCAAAATAACCTACTTCATTTTGACCACCTCTGAGAAGAGTTTTGCCCTCTCTTGAGTCACAGGGATTTGAACAGCTGTTACAGACAAGAAGACCTTAGATTGGGGTGAATACCTTGGCTTGAATCACACAGTTGCTAGAATGATGTTAGGAAGAATGATAGCTCTGAAGAAATCTTCAGGGTAAACTTAAGTAATTATGTACCTAATTGTTATACCCAGACTTTATGTTCAGAAAGAAGTAGAACCAGGCCCCAAATGGGGTATAATCACCTCGCTGACCATTTCCAGTGTGAAGAAAAGAGATAGGGAGGGAAGGAAAAAATGATGTCAGCAAGCAAAGTAGAAACAAATATTTACAAATGTGGAAAATTCTCTAATGAATTAAACTGACTGGGCGGGCTTTTGTTAAATAAATGATTGTATTATGGAAGAATATGATTTATTTTAGCATAAGGTCTTTTATTGCTTCAGAATTGTTTCCAAGTATATACTTTATTGATAATAAACTCATAAGTATATTGATTAAATATTTCTAATTATTTGACAAGAATTTGTTCTTACAGTTGTACTTAGTGAAAATATGTTATGTGAAATTTTATATTTCTATGCAATATTAATAAAACAAAAAGAATGGATTTTTCATGAAGTCATGTACCCAATTTTTTTTTAAAATGACAGCTTTTTTATTACAGTCTAGGTTGACCTATATGTGAGTAGACATTCTTAAATAAAAACCTTGTTAGATAATCAGAATTAAAAATCGGGTATACTACAGCACTCTGTCATCCCGGCCCATATTCCAATGATGAATATTCAGATCCCTCCATACTTTGATAGGTTCAATCTCCCTGGACAGAGGTCACCCTTAATAAGACATTTACTGGGATTTCCTGAGGCAATTTGCCATAGGCTGAGGATACAATTATCAGTGTGCTGATAATACCTTCAAAAGTGTATTATCAGCACACTTTTTAAATAGCCTTTTTGAAGTTTGCTAACTCATTATTTCAAGGTTCATTTTTACCTTCTTTGGTGGATTTTAAAGGGTTTCCTTTAGTCAAGGGGTTCAGCAAAATCTTTCTGAAAGAGATGACCAATCAGCCAAATCTTGAAATATAAGTACAAACTTATCAAGATAGGTGAGAAGAAAGAGCATAAACACAGGTACAAAGGGAGTAGCATCTCTGTGTCTGAGTTGGAGATTAGTAAGATATAGAGGTAGAAAGCTTGCAATCCCCAATTCATCACCTTCTTAAGTTTCCTTGAAATATTATGCAGATACACACATTCATACATTTGAACAGCACTGGAAACCAGTAATATTATTTAACAACATGCCAGATTCTAGAATGAAGTTCCACTAAGGCAAACTTGGATGAATCTGATAAAGAGGCAAATTCAGAGAGAAAAGTTGGCAAGAAATTTTCACTTCCACCCTATCCCATTTCCACCCTGTCTTTCCCTTGTTGAGGAAAATAAGACCACAGACTGGGACATCAGAAACAGAGGCATTATGATTTATTTTCAAAAAAATCTGCACAGGCAATGCCAAGAATGAACCCTAATGTCAACTATGAACTTTAGGTGATGATGCATTGATGCAAATTCTTTAATTGTAGCAAATGTACCATTCTGATGGAGGCTGTTGACAGTTGGGAGGTTGTACACATGTGGGTTCATGGGGGATATGGGAAATCTCTGTACTTTCCACTCAGTTTTTCTGTGAACCTAAAACTCCAGGGGCTGGGGTTGTGGCTCAGTGTCAGAAAACTTGCCTGGCATGTGTGAGGCACTGGGTTGGATTCTCAGCACCACATGTAAATAAACAAAATAAAGGTCCATTGACAACTAAAAAATATTTTTTAAAAAGTCTAGTTTAAAACAAAACATTTTCATGTCAGGAGGAACAGAAGGGAGTATTCACCATTTACACCCCATCCTCTTAATATATCAATCCTTAGGCTTTCTTTTATGGAAAATTATAACCAAAAGCTCTCTCAGAATTGCTCTGAACACTTACCAAGGGGAGAGAAAACCTTTTAAAATCCAGCAAAGAAGGTAAAAATGAACCTTGAAATAATGAGTTAGCAAACTTCAAAAAGGCTATTTAAAAAGTGTGCTGATAATACGTTTTTGAAGGGTCCCAGTGTCCAATAACACAAGAAGATTCTTCCATTTTGTTAAGGCTGTAGTTTTTATTCCTCAGTACACACAATTCTCTTTTACATGGAAGGCAGACTTTCACCCTATGTGACAGACATAGTACTATTACCAATGTCACCCTTCCCAACCTACTCATGACATAGCATACAGTTTGATAGCTGCTCTCTAGGGTGGCTGGGGTATTTCACCATTCCCTCCAATATCCCTCCCCCCTTTATTTCTGGCCAGTATGGGGGCTATAATGGCTAACAAGAAAATGTGGCTAGGAGGTGCTCAAGATAGTAAAGCAAGCAATACGAAAAAACAAAAAACACAAAAAATGATAAAAGTTATAAACAGACACATAACTAAACACAGTATTAAATTGCTAGGGATACTATATCAAACTGGGTGGTTTAAATAATAGAAAGTTGTATTTTAGTTCCAGAGGCTAGAAGTACCTAGATCAAGGGTTGCTTCTTTCTGAAGGCTGTGAGGAAAAATCTGTCCCATTCCTTTCTCCTCCCCTCTAATGCATTTTCTGGCAATCTTTGGAGTTCTTTGGGGTTAAGAGCTCTGCCTTAAGGACGCATGTCATTCTCCCTGTGTGCATGCAAATTTCCCTCTTAAGGATACCAGGCATATAAAGACAATTGTATGATCCCATTTGTATGTTTGTGGAAAAGGCCAAACTAAAGAGACAGAAAATAGATGAATATTGCCTACAGGTGGTAGGTAGGAGAGAAATTACAGCAAAGTGGCAGGACAAGGGAATTTTATGGGTACTGAGACTATTATGTATGATATTGGTGACAAATACACAACTCTGAATTCTCCAAAACAATTAGAACACAATAGAGTGAATTATATTGTATGTAAACTATAAAAACCATCACCTACAATAAGGGAAACCAAAGAAGGGGTTCAGACTTTGACAAATATATATAGTTGCACTACAAATTAAACACACAAGCACACTGATGGATTAGGAAGAAAAGAGATGACTCAAGGAACTTGGAAAATTTTTATACTGGACACTATAAAGCTAAAGACAAAAAGAATTGTATATATCATCATACTCCAGTTGGTAATTTTTTCCCTCTCTCATAAGGGTATATGCTAGTAATTCTAAGCCACTTTGAGGAAATGTTGAGGTTGAATCAAGAAAATATATTGTAGATAATGACAGCCTGGCTTCTCATTTCCAGAGGAAAAAGCTACAAACAAGAGAAATATGTAGACCATAATAAAGCCCACAGTATTGAATTAGTGTGCAAGGTTTAAGTATGAATTCATAAAAATAGATGTAGGTGTGCATTCACAGATTGGTGTATATGCACTCAACTTAAAAATGTTTCCAATGATTAAGCTGCAACAAATTGTGTGATGATATAAATAATGGTAGTTTTAGATTATTTTTCCAAAATACAGCATATAACTTAACACCTTTACATATATTTTAAGTGTACAAATTCAGTGGTATTAAATGCATTAATAATGTGTAACCATGATGACTATGCATCACCACAACTTTTCATCCTGTAAAACCGAGTCTCTGCTCATTAAACAATAAGTCCCCTTTTCTCTCTCCTCCCAGCTGCCGGAAGCCATGATTCCACTTTCTGCCTCTGATTCGACTTACTCTAAGAATGTCATAGAAATGGAATAATTCATGACCTTGACACTTCAAGAATATTAGCCAGGAATTCCGTAGGATGTCCCTCAATTTGGGGTTATCTGATGTTTCTCATGATTATACCAAGATGATAGAGAAAGGTGTCACTCTACCAATTGCTGATAGGAGGTAGCTGTAGACATCTAAACTCCATCTCGAAACTCCTCACAATGCCCCAAAGAGAAGGGTATCATGCAGTTTGCAGTTCTGCTTCCAGAACTTGGAGACCATCATGCCTCACACCATTCTAACAAATAGCAAGCTGGATAGTCTGAAAAATCAAGTTTTCTTGGATCAGAACAACAGAAGAGGACACAGAACAAATCCCTGACCCCACAGTCATGGCTTGCCACAGCAGAGATGGAGGGACCACCAAAGGAATAAGTGCTGGGTAGGAAAATCTGAAGTGCAATTAATGAATTGCTGGAAGCTCAGAGTGAATAAGTTGAAAAGTCTCAAGGGACCCAATTGGGGAAGGGGCACACCGTTACTAGGAATTTACCTTCAGGAGCTTGACCAGTTTCTTAATGCAAATGTCAGAGAATAATCCCCTGGTGTTACCAGCTGAGGAGGAAGGAGCCATTGTGAAATGCTCATTCTGTTGTTCTTAACAATGCCTGTCCTCAGGAATAGTCAACCGGAGCTTAACCAGCTGAGATATTATCAGAATCTAACTGACCTGGCTGACCAACTCCAGTCTACTCTAGCTTTCCATATGAGAGAAGGGAAATAGTTAACTCCAGCTCACTCTACCCAGCCTGATCCACCTTAGAGGAATAACAAACAAACAACTCTTAGAAACATAAAGAAAATTCACAGTCCAGAAACACAGGCACACAAAAAGACTTACTCATAAGACAACAGAATGCCTCTCCCCACAATTTAGCACCATACTACTACTAAAAGCCTACTTACAGAGGGTACTTTTATCTAGAACATCATATCTGACTACCAAGAAAAAAATAAGACATACTAAAAGGCAAAAAAGTTTAAAAAAGAAACCCACAATTTGAAAACATGGAATAAGCAACAAAACTAGCCATGGCAGGGATATTGGAATGATCAAACTAGGAATTTTAAATAACTGATTACTATGCTCACTAAGTTTTACTATGTAAGTAAGTTTACACAGTAAGTATTACTATGATTAATAAGTCATTCTGTGAAGCCAGCATCACCCTAATACCAAAACCAGAGGACAATTCTATAAGAAAAGAAAATTACAGACAAAACCTCTCATGAGCATAGATACAAATATTCTCAACAAAACACCTAACAAATTAAATCCAACAACTTACAAAAATAATTTGCACCATGACTAAATGGAATTTATTCCAGCTATACAAAGCTGGTTCAACATTCAAAAATCAATTAATATAATCCATTGCATCAATAAGATAAAAAAGAAAAATTACTGATCATATCAATAGATGGAAATGACTGGAATGAAGGAATTAAAGTGAATTTCTGTGTGGTCTGATCTGAATTCTGTACCTCACACTTCCAAGGACAGACCAGGACATTGAACTCATTAAGGTAGCTACTGTAATAACAAGGGGGCAGCTAAGGTGACAATATTGAAAGCTACCCAAAACAACACAAATAACAATGCATGTATAACGATGCCATTGAATAATCAAATTTATTTCTGAGTTGCTTAAGGATCATAAAAGAGAAACATTAACTCTCATAAAAACAGTAGTAAAATACAGTACACAGGAATGTCATTTGAATGATAAAAGTACAATAGCAAATGAAAAACAGTATCTTTTAACTTTTAAATACAAAGGTGAAGCAATTTAATAAGAAAATTTGTTAGTAAGAAAAATATATGTCCCATGTCTTTATTACATACTGTACAAAATAAAATATTGCACCTTTAAGTCATATAATAAATATATACAAAGAGTATCTTACAGGTGATCTTTCTTTTAATTTAATAACCTTCAACAATCAAATGTGGCTGATGATTAACAACTCATGGCCTGGTGTGTCCTCTTCATTTTCCCCTGTCCATTTCCAGCCACTAAACCCTCCACATACAGTAGTGCTCATCCCAGTGTCGGTGAGGCTGAAGTTAGAACAAAACAGATCTGGTGCTTAGAATATGGTAGAAAGACTCAGCAAGCTAATCCACAGACGAATCCAAAGCCAAAATGCACAGTTCAATTATTGATCAGGAACTAGATCTAGCACAACCTGCCTTGGGAAACTTTGTTGCCAACAGGCTATAGGCAACATGTGACAGGCAGTCAGGACACTGCATTAAGAAGTCTAACCATTTATTTGGGGTTGTTTGCCATCTAAAACCATAACTGGAGGAATACCAGGAAAAGATCACCACAACCAAATTAGCTCTAGAGTTTACAATTTAATGCTAGCCTGAACCTGCTTCAGAGGCAACACTTACTCCACACTTAACTTTCACCTTGACACTATCACACCAGCATGGACCCAATCTAAACCCAACCCAACCCTGCCCCAACCTGGCCCTGAGCCCAACTCCTTAACCAAGCACAGCCTTAGCCCTAATTTAACTTCCTTTCTCACCTAACTCAATCCTAGCTGAAAACTAACCCTAACCTTTCTTCCCCAAAGCCTAAACCAAATCCTAATTCCAACTTCTAAAAGTGTAACTTCCCGCCTAACTTTAATTCACTTTGGATTTACTGAAAAATCAACTCAAGCACTTATTTTATATAAACAATTCTTTTCAATTATGTATCTTATTAGATTACTTTCTTATAAACTTTCCAAAATAAAAATCCTCAGGAATACTATTTTATGCATAAATTAGGTCTAAAAGGCTTTGATTTTCTGTTTGTGTGCAAGAGAATAGTGCTTAGAAAAAGTTCTATTCACAGTTCTTAAAGCATTGCATATACTTCAAAATCAGTAGAAAAGGTTAAATTTCCCTCTTCTTTGATTTCCAAGATGCCTCATTTGGTCACAGATGGATTTCTGTAGTTGTGAAAATGGCAGCAATATTTCCTCTGTGTTTTCTTCCAAGAGTGCTCGAGAGCAAGGACAGGATGCCACCTCCTCATGAATTCTTGGGTCAATTGGAGTCATAAGCCTGTCCAAGAGATTATCTCTTTTTCACAGACTGAACTTGAGCATCTTTGCAAATGCCATTAATTATAACATCTGAACAACTACTGGCCAGTTGTAGATACCTCACAAACTTGTTGAAACTCTACAACTTGAGAGAAGAGGAAGTTATCAGTTGCTGTGCTTCCTAAGACTTCAGGATGTACCACTCTGTGCTAGTTTACAAATCACAGCATGCGAGGATGTGCTCATTATCTTGGTGACTTCCCGATTACGCAGACATGATGAAGTCCCAAGTGCATTGGCACATTACTATGTTAATCCTGGAATACATCATTTACAGGAAGTGTAATTAGAAACCGACCATGGGGAAAATTTCACTTTACAAAATTTTAACAGGGATGTTTTTGCATCAACCCCTGTTTGATCAAGGAATTCAGAGTTTTTAGGAAATACATGTTTTTGAACCAGAGACATGGGGAAAAGAGCTTTGATTTTTTTTTATAGTCACAGCAGCATCACAACCCCTCCATAAGTTTACCCTTCTTGGCATGACTGGCAGCACTTTCGTTTGTGGAGGTCCAGAGAACACAAATTAAGGTGTCTTATGAACATACAGTAGTGAGTTGTATCTGTACAGTCGCCTGCAAAGAAGAAAAAGAATCAGTAACACGTGGCTCATTAAAGGCTGACTAAAAGTCATTGGATTTTGTGAAAAGCCATAAATTAAGATCACAGAGTGAGGAGAAGAAACCAGCCTTGGCTTGGGCCACTGCTTTGTCCTGGATTCAGAAGTGCAGTGGACTCACTTCTCAGTTCACCAAGTGGGCTCTCTCTGTGCCCTGGGAACCTCACAGCCCCTCTGGTCCATGCTGCTGCTCTCAGGGCTCAGAGAAGCACTTAGCTTTGGCAGAGTCATGGACCCCTGCTCTCTAGAAAAATAACATACAATTAAATTTGACACATAATTTCAGGACATTTCTTCTGGTAGAAGGAAACAAGTGGAGAGTTTGCCAGTGCTTGTTGGAAAGGCAGTAACCAATGCTGCTGGCACTTAATAATCCTATTATTTCTTCTCTACAGACCCCAGATCTATGTGCATATAAAAGAGCTCATCTATTGTCCCAAGCCACCACATCTGTTCTGAGTGGCCTCTCAAGAAGTGACTCTGATGAGGTTGACACCATCAAGGTCAGGTTAGGACAAGATCTCTGGAGCTGTGGTGACACCTGGGAGGGGTACGTACTATTGCAGGAAGGCCCAAGACAGTGCCTCCAGGAAGCTGGTTTCTTATTCTGCACACAGTATCTCTCAGCCACAGGTTTGCAGCTTCTTGTGTGGACACAGTCGACTTTCCGAGACTGGAACCCCCTGCCACAGGCTGCTGTACAGGGTTTCCAAGGGCCTGTGCGCCAACACACATTGCAGGCTCCTGATGTGCAATTCCTCCTAAAGGTGGGCCTGAAATAGGAAAAGAATATCAACAGGAGAGGCTGGGTGTCACTTTCTTGATGGGATCAAGTCTTTTATCCTACTATATATTCTATATACTAAGGCTTTGACAATTAGGACCCAATTCACGAGGAAATCAATTCTCAGTGTCCATGGTTGGCTAAGCAAAGCAATGGTAAAATTGTGGCCATAGAAAAGAGAATCTGTCTACTTCAGAATATGGACAGTTTTCAAGCCATAGAGAATAACCTTATAGTTATATAAGTTAGCCCAAGGTATATTAGGATGATTCTGAAAATCAACAGATATACGATAGGAGAAAAAGGGGAAGAACTATTTTAGAAAAATTCAATAAACATTTAAGACTTTCTGTGTATCAAGAACAAGGCTCTGAGGATGTAGAAATTGGTGACATATAATCCCAATGCCAAAATGATGTTTAAAAATATGTGGTGGAGTCAACAAGAAAGCACATTTTCACAGTATGAGACAGGATGAAATAGGTGCCACTAAAATCCAAAGTTGAGAGCTCACACTCAAGTTTACACAGATCACTGAGAGGACATGGGATTACTGCAAGGCATCACCACCACTGGGAAAGGTTTTTCTTCTCATTGTTGGCAGGTGGAAGGTCTCTGGGTGTCCTCCATCTAAAACTGAGATATCCCCCTGCTTCTATGCCATGCAATCTAGAATGACAGAATATCCCCTACTCCCTGGGGCTTGAGAGTCCCTGCTTAGATGTGCTCTCACTAAGAAGGTACAGCAAGTAAACTGTGTGTTTGCCCTGACTTTCAACATCACAGCCCATACATCAGAAGAGAGGCTGTTGCTGGTAAGCTGAAGCCGTTCAATTTAGGCAAGGAAGAGAATTATTTACTATAATGATCACAGTAAAACACTTAAAATTTATGAACAAGCCTTGAGTTTTCTGTTTATAAGCACTTGAAGCATATTCCGTTATGAGTCTGAATTTACATGTGAGCAACCTTGTCTGCCAAGAAAAGTGCTCTAACATGTACATTTAGGCCACACCAAGATGTCTAATCAGAAACTACCAAAGACCATTTATTTGGGAAGAGGAATTTATTTCTGATTTCCCTGGCTTTTAAAACAGAACTGAAACTCAATACTTTCTGATTTGGGGAAAATGTTTATCTTGGAGGAGAGAGCCACCTTAATGGATCCACTTCGGGTTATGTGTCCTGGGAAAGGTTCTGGAAGATATATTTGTACTGTATGAGAATGTCTCTCTACGCAAAGATGATAGGAAGGGGGCCCTCACATGAACTGGTCAATAGTTATCTTTCTTTTAGGAATTTGGAGGTTGCTGGACAAGACATATAAAGTTGAAGCCTGGAGTAGTGATTGCCACATTCTGCCACATGGGCCAGTAAGGTAGGAAAGAAGTTTCAAGAAACAGCAAAGAATAAAGAAAATACACATGGAGCAATATAGATAAGAGGAGAAAAACAGAACAAAACAAAACAACAACAACAAAAAAAAACAATGGCTTTTCATTTCTTGGTTATGGTCCTTCCTGAGGTCTGACTGCATCTCTCTTTGGATTATTTGAGAATTTTAAGTACTGGGGATTGAACCCAGGGCTTTGCACATACTAGGAAAGCACTAAGCTACATCCCCAGTCCTTTTTATATTTTATTTTGAGACAAGGTGTCACTACGTTGCTGAGGCTGGCCTCAAACTTCGTATTTTCCTGCCTCAGCCCTCCAAGTTGCTAGGATTACAGGCATGCGTCATGGCAGCCAGGTTTGAGACGTTTTTGTATCCATATTAAAGACTCCTTATAAGGACATAAAAGTCTATAAGGAATGTTGAAACAACCACTGGAAATGTAACAAAACAGAGAAAACAGCAATAACCTGAATTTCTTTAAAGGAGAGCTTAACACATAGTGGGAAGTGATACTTTAATTTGCCAGTAGGGGGAGTCTCCATCAAAGGGTTTAACCATACTGTCCCAATGGTTCATAAGGTTTAGGGAGGGAGAAAGGGGAGGTTACCCACACTGTTAACTGCTTGTTTTCCCTGGTAGATATGACACTTAGGGGACCAAGGTTGAGTCACTTTGAATAACATTAGGCAGAGACTGAATACTACTCAGCCATCTCCCTATGCAGAGATCAGCTTTTCTACCGAAAAGTTTCAAATATTCAAATATTTAAAAAAATACACTTAAGAAGATACACGTGTTAATTGGTCTTGTCTTATTAAAAAATCTTTTGCCCTCTTTGCAGAAATCATTCCAAGTTGACTTTTGTCATCTCCAGCCCAAAAGGCCTTAACTGATACAACCATTTCTTCTGCTTTGATGGGAGGCAAGGGCATCCCAAATATAAAGGATAAGAGGCTCAGAGAGCCATAGACAAACCCAGAAGTGGAAGTTCACGGCAGCTCAGAGACTGATCATGGAGGTCAGATTAAAACAAATGGCAGGCTGGATCAGCAGAGGGGCCACTTCCTCCTGAGCAGGGATAGAATGACCCGGGATGGGAATACCTGAACCAGGTAGACACAGACTGGGTACCAGCATTGTGCACAAATTGGAGGTCATGTGTTTTTCTACATAAAAAATGAATGTAGAAATGGCAGAAAAATCATAAAGCAACCCTAGCTTTTCTCACTTTCTTGTTTCTATTCAGTCCTGTTCCACTCTTATTTCAAATAATTGCCTGCATCACCAGCCAGATGGAGCTGGTGATTCTGAGTATGACAAACCCCAAGGGTTGTGAGAAGTAGGCAGAAGTGGGCAGCTTTGAAAAGGCATAGATTGTTATGCAGTTTCCAGAATGTTCTGATTCATTAAGTCTGAAGTAAGGAACAAGAATCCTTATTTCAGAGAAACTTCCCAGGTTGATTCTAACTCTTGGCTGAGATGAGTAATCATCACTTTGGGCAACTATGTGCTCAATGTTTCCTTAGATCCCCATGTTGTCTTCTTAATACAAGTTGGGACTGTCTTTACCCTAACAATTTCCATTCCCTTTTAGGTCATACCTCCTAAACCCTTCCCTGGACCTATAGAAGTCTCTAGCAGACAGCCTGCTCACACTGAGCCTCCATTCACAAAGACTAATGACACTCTCTGCAAGACATCCTGTAACACTGTGGCTACTGGGGGATGCCTCTCCAGCCTGCCCACTGCTCCCTACTAGGCACTTAAAAAGGAAATCTAACACTGCACCTATCTTTGGCAAGCCCACAGTCAGCACACCAATTTAGCAAAGATCTATGGGGAAAATGAGACATTAATCAACTTAATCCTTCATCTATAAACCATCAAATATTCAAGGGATAATAACAGCATGAAAGAAAGCACCAGGTTATAAAAGCAGAATAGCCAGTCCTGGAAGAAACAGTCAAAAGAAAATGAAAGGTAACATGACCCCCAATCCATCAGATCTAAGAATTTTTCTTCTATTATTTAGAAAAATATCCACCCTTTTATTTTACTTCCATATCTTTTGTCTAAAGCCCTATTTAATCAGATTTTCAACCTGTTTCTTATTTTTAGTTGTAGATGGACACAATAACTTAATTTTATTTATTTATTTATTTTTATGTAGTGCTGAGGATCAAACCCAATACCTCAGATGTAAGAGGCAAGTGCTTTACCACTGAACTACAACCCCAGCCCAAGGTTTTGAACCTTTTGAAAGATCATTCTATGCTTTTTTCTTTTCATATTCTTTGCTTCTTATTTTTTGCTGTCTTTTTAAAAATATTTTTTTTAGTTATAGATGGACTCATACCTTTATTTTATTTATTTATTTTTTATGTGGTGCTGAGCATGGAACCCAGTGCCTCCTGTGTGCTAAGTGAGCACTCTATCACTGAGCCACACCCCAAATCTTGTTTTTACTCTCTGTGAAACAGAGAAGAATGAGGTTTGGACACAGGTGTGAAGAGGGTGTAGGACTTGAGCCTATGGAATTTTATAGGGCACATTAAGGATTTGGGTTAATTTTCTTTTTTTTAAATTTTTAATTGTTGATAGATCTTTATTTCATTTATTTATTTATATGTGGTGCTGAGAATCGAACCTAGTCCTTCACACATGCCAGGCAAGTGCGCTACTGCTAAGCACCAGCCCCAGCCCTGCATTTGGGTTAATTTTCTTCTTAGGAACAAGAAAATCTATAACATAATTTTATGCTAACAGTGAGCTAGGTGGAGGTGGTGGTGGTATAATCAGATCTGCATCCTGGAAAATTCACTCAGGCTGTAGTGTGGAGACTGATTTGGGAAAAAGCATGGTTATACGGAGGGAAACCAGCTGGATGGCAGTGGACTAGGTGAGATGATAGTTGCCTGCCCAAGAGTAATGGTGACAAAAATGGAACAAAAAGAACATGGGTTCAAGAAAAACTCTAAGGAGCTAAAAATGCATGTGAAAAGTAATCAGAAAAGTACAGATTACAGAGACATAATGTTTTAATCTATTGGATTGGCAATTTTTTTTGAAAGACTGAAAATGTATTCAATGAGGATGAAAGGGGTGTATCAGATATTGTTGGTCTGGGTATTTTGATGGTTATTTGGTAGTATCCAAATGATCATGTCTACTAATTCAATTACATATCTAAAAATTTACTCTGTAAAAATATACCAATTTTGTGTAAATATATATGTTCCAGAATGTTTACTGTAGCATCTGTTTGTAAAAGTGGAAAAATTAAAACAGTCAAATGTCCATCAACATTGGAATAATGGAATATTAAATGCAACAATTAATAAGGACAAGTTCAATCTTTATGAACCAGGATAGGAGGAAAGTCTACAATACATTCTGAAATAGAAAACATAAATTTCAGAAAAATGATAAAAGTTTCAATCCATGTAGGGAGTACTTATTTGTATTGCAAATATATCTTTCTGAATGCAAAGTTAAACATCTGGGACAATGCATATCAATCTGTGTGTGGCCTCTATCTTCTCAGCAAAATAGGAAACTAGGTTGTCTGTTGAAATGAGGGCAGCTGTTCCAAACATTTTCCATTTGAGGAGTTCTGGCTTGAAACTGTGTTATGAGGAATGGGAAATACAGCTGACTCTACATTGCCAAACCTGACTGAAAACTCAAAATGTAACCAAGCCAATTGTCAAGGTCAGCCCACTTTCTCCAGCAAGTCTCAAAATGTGAAGAAGGGAGAAAGAGTTAGATATGATTATCTTCTAGGACCCAGGCTGCCTGGGTGCTGACACCAGGGTAACTAATTAAAACTTTCCAACCACAAGTTCCCCACCTGGTAGATAAAGGAAGTTAAATAGTCCAAGGTCACACAGGAAGAGAATGATAGGATGCCAAGCCCCTGATTAGTGTGCTTCTAGGTTGCTAGCTAGGATACTACACTCTGGGATGGTAGAGCTGCCAGTTGCAAGGGGCCTGGATCTCCAGATGACCTCCTGAATAAAGCTCTTCTACTGCTACAGCACTACTAGCTCAGACTTTTATACAAGAGCAAAACAAACTCCTCTCTTGTTTAAGCTCTTCCACAAGATAAAATTTATTTTATTCTTTGCTGAACCATCGGGCCAACATCCTAATCAAAACAGTTTCTAAACAGAGGAACAAAGTGGTTCATTGAAAACATCAGGAAGATTTAATCTGTAAACCTAAATTAAACATTATTAGGCTTGACCAACTTTGTATATAAAGAGAAAAATATCTGTCTATTCTCAATGCTACCCTTTCTTCCCTTTAAGGCAATACTCTGTGTTCAACATTCAAATAACTTGTAATTACAAATAGTATATATTAACAAATATTTTAGTATAATATATTCTATTAAGGAATGGAAAAAATCATAACTTAACAGGAACTGTTAACTATGAGTGGTGGTAGAAACTAGAAGCAATTCCATTTTCAGGTAGTTTTAGTCACTGAGTGAGGCAGAGAAGACTGTGTGCTGCCCTGGGGTGGGGCCAGTACCTCCTGTCATCACAGTCAGAGCTGTTGTGGTGTCCGCAAGCTGTGTGATGCTGCAGCATCCTCACGGCACGACCCATGCAACGTCCAGGACACTGGAACAAAAGCATAACATGGTGTGAACCCTGTGAGCTCACGTGGGCTGTGTGTTCCAAGATGATGTACTGAGGTGTGACAGCAACAGTCCAGTTATAAGGTGAGTTAGGGAGGATCAGAGCACAGCTCTGCAGAACAGACCCCTCTCTCAGAGCCAGGAAGACAACTGAGCTTCGCCCTCCCTTCCTTTCCCCTCTGAAACTTAGACCACCTCTGGGGAGAAGGGAAAAGGACAGGGGAAACTTAAATTGATCGGACTTAAGTCCGGAAATGACTACACTTAAAGTATGAAAGACTGCCAAGTTTGGGTTTTTCCCACTCTGAGCAAAATGAAGACTTGTGCTAAGCTGATTTCAGTATAGGAAAACATATTAAAATGGATATGTAATTCTTAAATTTTTACATAATCATAATGCCTATTAATTTTTCTTATACTTTATTTTATGCTTGAAATGGTCTTACCTATCCTAATTGTCCTATTTGTATTTCATTAATTTTACATTTAGGTCCTTGGTCAACTCAAAATTTATTTTGTTACATGTTCTGAGTTTAGACTCTGATTCTACTTACTTTTCTTATATTGGCTAACCAATATCTCTCATACTATTCTTTTTTTTTTAGTTAATGGCTTTATTGAGCTATAATTCACATGTCACACAGTTCACCATTTAATTTGCACAATTTAATGTTTTTTAAAGTGGCCTTACCATAGCTGATGTTAGAGCACTATCATCATCCCTCAAGGAAACCTAACAATCTTTTAGCAGTCACCCCCAGATCCTCCCACCACTTCTTCCCCGAGGCCTAGGAAACCATGAATCTACCTTTTGTCTCTATGTTTCTATAGATTCACCTATTCTGGACTTTTAAGATAAATGAAACTGTACATTAGGTGGTCCTTATGTCTGTCTTCCTTCACTTTTGTTTTCAAGGTTTGTCCACATTGTAGCATGTATTAGTACTTTATTTTTTTAATGGCCAAGTAATATTCCATTGTACAAACACACCATGATTTATCTACTCATCAGCTGCTTCCTCTTTTTCTTAATTATGGGTTATTATTTGGGTTGTTTCTACTGTCTTGTTATTATAATAATTCTGCTATGAACATTCATGTACACATTTTTGTGTGAAAATACATTTTCATTTCTCTTATATCCAGGGGTGGAAAGTGCTGGGTTATAGGGGAGTTATATATTTAACCTTTTGAGGAACCGCTAGACTACTTTCCAAAGTGCCTGTACATTCCCACAAGCAGCATCTGAAGGTTCTAGTTTCCCTACTACATTCTCACTATATTTCTTACTAATGAAATCCTATTGGGCATGAACCCCTTTCTCATTGTGGTTTTGGTTTGCATTTCTCTAGTTATCAGTGGCAAGTATCCTTTTACACACTCATTGGCCATTTGTATCTTTAATTAAGAAATTTGTTCTGGTCCTTTGTTCACATTTTAGTAGGGTTATTTATGTTTTTATCGAGTTGTGGTTTATAATATAGATTTTAGATACAAGTGCCTTTTCAGATATATGCTATTTAAATATCTTCTGCTATTCTGTGGGTTGTCTGCTTACTTTCATGATGGTGTCCTTTGCAACAAAGTTTTATTTTTGATGTAGTTAATTTATCTACTTCCATTATGGTTGCTTATGCTTTTTGGTGTTATATCTAAAAAATAATTTCCTCATTTAAGTTGTGAAGATGTATCCTATGACTTCTTCCAAGAATTTTGTGGTTTAACTCTTAAATTCAGTTCTTTGATCAATTTAAGTTCATTTTTTGTATGTGGTGTAAAGTTGGAGGACCAACTTCATTCTTTTGTACATGGATATCTAGGTGTCTTGCACCATTTGTTCAAAAGTATTCTTTCCCCATTGACTAGTCTTATTAATCTTGTAGAAAATCAACTGACACAAATACATTGGTTTAGTCTTTACTTAATTGAAATATATATGTTTATATAGATCATATCATATACCATATACACACACACATAATTTTTATACATATAATCTAGTACCACACTGTCTTGAATACTGCAGTTTGGTAATAAGTTTTGAAATTAGGATTTTTGAATCCTCCAACTATTCCGAAGCCCTCTCCTCTCTCTCCTTGTGAATTTTAAGATCACCTTGCCAATTTCTGATAGGGATTCTGTTGACTTTGTAGATAAATTTGGGAAGTGTTGTATTGTTAGCAACATTAAGTCTTCTGATGTATGACTATAGAATATCTTTTTCTATTTATTTAGATTTTCTTTAATTTCTTAAAAAAATCTTGTAGTCTTAAACCCTCAATTTTCTAAAACCATTCCTTCCCCTATGATAAACTGCCTTTGAACTTTTAAGTCACCTCGCATGGGTCTGCTGTGCTGTGGTTACAGTATGTGCCCTGTGTCTTTTCCTGCCCCAATAATGGCCAATTCTACTCACAACAGATTTGCATCTTGCTGGGACACAGCATGAGAAAAAGCTCTCCACACCTCCAGTAATTTGTTTTTCTAAAAATTTCTTGTCCTTATTTATTCTCTAACATGAATGCCAGAATTACTCCATAAAAAGGTTATGTTATTTTAATTAGAATTTTATGACATGCACAATTTCATTTAAGGAAATGGACATCTTTACAGTACTGACATTTTCCTTTCAGGAATATAATACACCTTTTACTGGCTCAACTTTTCATTTATGTCTTAATAATGTGTTCTTCATGAGTTCATGTACATTAAAAACAATTTTCCCTGAGCATTTTATTAACAGTGGCACTTGGAATCTGAGTTCTGAGATTTTGTGCAGATAGCACTAGTGTTCGTCTCCTTCCTTCCTGGAAGGCTGCTCTTATTTCTACTGCCCTGAACTGATCTATTTAGGAGATTTTGTTATTGCACCACTGCTTTAAGGTTCACTTTTGTACTGGACGACAGAGACACTGATTTCCAAATGCAGATGCTGAGATCAGAGGAATACATTCATTTTAGACACCAGATTCCAACCCCGTCCCCAAATTATTAGAAATAAGGAGGTGATTATAGATACTACTGTCCACACACTAGACTACCTGGCTCGCTGGTTCGATGATCCTTTGAACACATGGATGCCCATGACATGGTTTCCTTCCCAGAGGCCGGTCTTTAGGGGCACATGCCCTCGGAGACACTGTCTGCACAGTTCCGTTGGCTTTTGTCCTTTTACATGTCACTTGCCGACTGTGGAATCCTTCACCACAAGATGAAGAGCACTCTGACCACACACTTGTGAACCACCTAGGAACAAAAACTATAGGATCTTAGTAAGGACTGGGATGCCAGGCCTTACAGGTTGTCTTGCCAAAATAAAACTCAATCCTAACAAACCGTTTCAGGGCTGTCACATGTGCCTATGGGAAGGGGCAGCAGTATAGATAACTCCCAAACTTCCAAGATTTTCTTTTGCATAGAGGAGCAGCAGAGTTACCATGTTAGAGATGACCAACATGACTGTAGGGCAGAGATATCTTTAAGTTTAGAGAGAGCTGTCCCTTGTGTGGTCCTGGACAGTGAAGTTAGGGTAAAATCAGTGGAAATTTCAAAAAGGTAGATTTTAATTTATTGAAACCGAGGGGAGGAAAATATTTCTAAAGTACCTATGTGCTGTTTGCTGTATTAGATATTTACATGTTACCCTATTTGATTTTTATGTGCTTCCCATTCTTTTAAGTCAATTGGCTAGGATCACATAACTAAACCAACAACAGAGCTGGGACTGGATTACAGATATATCTGACCCTAAGGATCATGCGTTAATGATCACAGGAGACGAAACGTGGACATGGACTCCTTTGGGATATTGAGTGATTTGTCATACAAGATGTCTAACCTGCTTGTATATTATGAAACAGAGGTCCGTGGTTATCCAGAGGACCATGTGCTTGGTTATTACATCTAACTAATGTTTAGTATTTCCTTCAATGATAAAAACATAGACCAAAAGCTACAGTAGTATTAGTAATGCCAGTGATTTTGTTAATAGAAGCCATAAGTATTTCCATATCCCATTACAACTGTGATAGGTATCTCAAAACATCATTTATATTTATCACCACTTCAAGATTGAAGCTAGCTTTTATTACTTAGTGTGTCAACAGAGAAGCAAATCCATTACCATATCACACATTTAAAAAAATCTCAATAAATGTATATCAGTATAATTAGCGTCCTCTGTAACCAGTTGTATTCTATTTTGTATATTTAAAAACATTGTTATGAGAAGGTATTCATAGGTTTGTCCAGACTAACAGAGGGGGTCATGGCACAGGAAGGTTAAGATTAAGAATCCTTAAAGACAGTAGAATGAATCAGACATAATTTTTCTATGTTCGTACACTACCAGTGAAACTCCACATCATGTTCAACCACAGTGGGATCCAAATTAGAATAAGTTTTGCTTGTATGTATAATATGTCAAAATATACTCTAATGTCATGTATATCTCAAAAGAACAAAATAAATATTAAGAATCCTTGACATAACGGATTCTGGGGGATTAAGGGACCTCTGTGGTCTTCAATAGGTACAAAGCATAGTACTTTATTTATTCTAGGAATGCACAAAGTCTCAGGCATATTTATTTATTTATTTTAAAAAAATTTGGTTGTATATGGACACAATACATTTATTTTATTTATTTTTATGCAGTGCTGAGGATAGATCCCAATGACTCACATGTGTTAGGCGAGTACTCTGCCACTGACTACAACCCCAACCAGCTTGTTTAATAAACAAGGCTGCTCATAAGTTTCTCAACGTGTATTCTCTCCATTTTGTAAAAATCAAAAATTGACATAAAGTGCCTTTCTCTGATCAGACTCCCCTTAATTATTGTAGCTTGAACTCAGGACTTTTTGAAGGGTGACTCTTAGCATAGATTTTCCTTTTAAGAATTACAGTGGGTCCTGGAAACCATGGAAGTTAGGGTGCCTGCAATACTGACAGCCCTTATAAGAGCATGCCCCAAGGTAACTTTTTGGTTTTATAGTGTGACTGCATCCCATACCCCTCCAAGTCACAGGTATTTGGATATGGTGTGGGCATTTGCACAAGGGCACTGAGGTAAATAACATTAAGCTTTCTATTTTCTCCTTAAATAATAGGGTTAGTGTTTGATCCAATGGCACATGCCCATAATCCCAGCCACTGAGAGGCTAAGGCAGGAGAATTGCAAGTTCCAGGCCAGCCTGGGCAACTTAGCAAGGTCCTATCTCAAAATGAAACATAAGAAGGGCCGCAGGTGGAGCTCAGTGGTAGAGCACCCTGGTTCAATCCCCAGTACCACCAAAAAAAAAAAAAAAAAAAGAAAAAAGAAAAAGAAAGAAAGGAAGAGAAAAAAGAAAAGAAAAGAAAAAAGAAAGAAAAATGAGGTTGATAACTGTGTCAGCCATGAACTTGTACTCAATAAATAGCTCTTTATTTGCTAACTTATATTTTACTGTTGATTTTAATGCCATTTGCCAATTATCTGCTATGTCATAGACCATAGCAGATAATTGGCAAATAGCATTAAATTTATTTTTAAAATTTAAAAAATTTTTAAAAATTTTAAAATAAATAAATATTTCACCATTCATTAATTCATTTTGCATATTATGGGACAGACATTGTGTTAAGTGTTAAAAATAAATTATTGAGAAAAACAGCCCTGAGTTTACTTATAAGATTTACAGTCTAGTGGAGAGCAAAACATTGTGGTAAGAGCTATGAAAAATGATAAAGAAATATAAAAAACATTTTGACTTACTTTGGAAAGCTAATGTCAGGAAGGTTTCCCTGAAAATGTATGGAAATATTAAGTGAAGAGAAAGGGAACAGTATGTGTAAAGGTTCTGAGTCAGGAAAGAAAACAGTACAACCAAGGGTCAAAAAATAATAGTATGGAGGGAGCTCAGATAATCAGAGTGGGAGAGATAAGCAATAAGAAAAAATAGTAACCAAAACCCATACATGAAGGGAATTCAATTCTTCACTCACTTATTCAGTCAATCAGCAAATATTCACTAACCCACCTACTGTGTGCTAGGTGCTATTTTAGATACTGCAGATAAAAAGTCATATAAGATAGACATGACCCCAATGCTAGGAATTTTGGTCTTTTTCCTAAGGACAATGAGTACCATCATGATGAATTTGTTTTAAAAGATTTTTTGGTTGTTGATGTGGTCATGGGGATAAAACCCAGGGACACTCTACTATTGAGCTACATTCCCAACCCTTTTTATTTTTGATTTAAAGACAAGGTCTCACTAAGTTGCTTATGGTCTTGCTTTGTTGCTGAGGCTGGCCTTGAAATTGGGATCCTCCTGCCTCAGCCTCCCAAGTTGCTGGGATTCACAGGTATGTGACATCACATTGAGCTAAAAAATATTCCTATAGAGTGAAGAAAGTACCCTAGGGAGGGAGACAAAAATCAAGGACGGCTTGGACTCTAGTGGTAACCATGGAAATTGATAAAAACAGGTGGAGGTGAGAAAGGTGGGGGCGTGTAGGAGGTAGCCACTGAGATCTGGAAGACTGAGATGGATCACGTTTAGTGTAGATGAGAAGTTTGATTTGGGAGTTTTTCTAATTACTGACGTGTATCATTTATCACTTAGAAAGATTTTTGTGTTCAAGCCTAGGGAACGTGTTTTTAACTAGTCCTCAGGTGACTGGTCCACTGCCTTATCTGCAAGGTAAGGCCATGAAATCAGCCTCACTGCAGCCCAAAGATGTAGCAAGCACTGGGAGTGCAGGAAGCAGATTTGTGTAGTTATTAAGAGTAAAGTTTCTGAGGTGGGGCATGGTGGTGCACACTTGTCATCCCAGGGACGTGCGAGGCTGAGGCAGAAGGACTACAAGTTTGAGGGCAGTCTGGGCAGCTTAGAAAGACCCTGTCTCAAATTTTTAAATGTAGCTCAGGGCAAAGTGCCCCCTTGGTTATATCCCTAATACTGTGTGTGGGGGTGCTCTGAATTAGACCATCAGACCATCAGGCCATTTCAGTTTAAATTCTGGTCCTTAAAATTGTAGGGAGTTTTCCCATCTGTCAAACAGGAAACTGAAATGTACCTCACAGGCTACTGTGAGACAATCCATGTCAAGCATTTAGCAGAATGTCTGGTACAGAGTAAGTGCTAAATAAATCTTAGCTATTGAGCCATTATGTCCAAATTGCTGTGTGTTTTAAAACAAGAAAAGTGTGGGTATGTATGAGATAAGAGAGTTCTTCACATACCTTGCAGGGCAGTCCTGGATGTTACAGGGCTGAAACCCTGCCAGTGGTTTCTGGAGGTGATTACAAAGGGCTTCACTCACTTTCTGTCCACTAGCCAACACACACTGGGGTCTCTGAATACGGGATCCCAAGTGACCACAGGAGGCAGAACAATGTGTCCAGTTACCAGGCTCCCAGAAAGGCTCTGCAGAAAGGAAATAAAATGTCATGACAGTCCCAGCTGGGCATGGTGGCACACACATGTAATCCCAGCTGCTTGGGAAACTTAGAAAGGAGGATCGCAGGTTCAAAGCCAGCTTCAGCAAGAGCAAGGTGCTAAGCAACTCAGTGAGTCATTGTCTATAAATAAAATACAAAATAGGGCTGGGGATGGGGCTCAGTGGTTGAGCATCCCTCAGTTCAATCCCTGGTACCCCCTCCCCCCCAAAAAAATGTCATGACAGCCCCAAATAAGAAATGATAATGGGCTGGACAGGGAATAGCCAAAGACCATCATGAGCTGATCTACCATTAGCTGCCAGTCTGGTTTTTCAAGCAGGACACACAGAGAAAACCAGGTTAGGGGGTCCTTTAAATCTTATTTTCCCTCAACTAACTTACTGCAACCACTAATGGGCATGGTGGCCCAGATGGGGTCATTGGACCACAGGCTGTGAGAAGGGCTATTGTAGGCCTGGTAGATCTTCCAGAAAACCCCAGGGAGAGGGAGGAGCTACCCTGAGCAGTGGGCTGCCTCCTCCACATTCTTCAAGCCCAGTCAATAGAACCAGAGAAGGGCAACTCCAGGGGGCGCTCTAATGCATTCAATTTTCCAAAACTGGTTCAGGCAGAGAAATAAAGGACAATTTAGCACAAGGAACAGGGACTGAGGATTAAAGAGTAAAGTTAAAAATGCATTTGAATTTCAGTCTTCTTTTTCCATTAATTTTTAATCAAAACTTCATATTAGTCCTGAAACTGCATAAATAATTTGTTGTGGAGACATCTGGAAAGGTAAAAAATGGGTGTTTTCTTTAAAAAGTAGAAGCTAAGCACCTCAAGCAATCACAGCTTTTTTGTTTTAGACCCCATTCCAAGCAGCCTTTCTCTTCCCTGCTGACACTTAGTAAAAGATGAGGTAGGACATGACGATGATAGATTTGTGTATGATCACAGAAAGTGCCAGATTTTCCTGTAATAATCACAAATAATTGATAGCTACCAGCTGTGTCCACAGGCTCTCTGACACACCAGAGTGATTTCTTTAACTTATTGTTTTCCAGTTTTTCGTCCTGAGTTTTGAATTTTTCTCTTAAATTGCATATGGCATCATTCACAGAGCAGAACCATAAAATATATTTTGAGTTGGACCCTCAGGATCACAGTTTACTTAAAAAGATTTTTTTGAAAACAGCTATTTGTTGAGAAATTCCCAGGTGACAGGTACTGGGGTAGGTACTTTATAATCAATCTTTCTGGTCATCCTGTGAAGTAGATATTTTTATTTGCAGAAGTGGAACTTGAATGAAGCTAAGGAACCTGCCCAAGGTCTGTTACTGGAACCCACATGTGTCTGACTCTGGATTTTTTTCTATTATCCCACATTTCACAAAGAAACCTTAACAGTTCAAGGCAGGACACATTGTGTTTCTTTAAAATTATGTGTTTTTTACTGAAGTGTAATTCATGTACAATGAAATGCTTAGGTCTCAAATGTGCAGTTTTGTGAATTTTCACAACTTTGTAAACTTATATAACTGTGATCTAAAGAAAGGTATATAATATTTTTATCACTCCCTAAAGCTCCCTTTTGTTTCTTTCTAATCAACTCCCTCCCTCCCAGGCTCATTTTTAATCAGTATACACTGGCTTTACATATTCCTAGACTTCATGCAATATTTACTCTTTTGTATTTGGCTTCTTTCACTTAGTATAATATTTCCTGAAATTCACTCTATCATTGTGCACATCAGCAGTTCATTCTCTTTTACTACTGAATAATTCTGTTAGTTTTTTAAAAAATTCATTGTCCTGTGTAGGGCTATTGTGAATAAGGCTGAACATTATTGTATAAATCTTTTTGTGAGTATGTTATCATTTTTCTTGGGTAAACACTTGGGAGTGGAATTTCTGGATCCAGGGTAGGTGTATGCTTAACTTTAGTACAAACTACACAAGTTTTCCAAAGTGGTCTTGTCATTTTACACACTAAGTAAATGAGAGTTTCAGTTGCTTTTATATTCTTACCAAAATTTGGTATTGTCAGTCTGTTTTTAACTACTCTAGTGGGTGTGAAACTATATCTCATTGTGATTTTAATCTTCACTCCCCTGATGCCATCAGTATCCCTTCTTTTATGATATATCTGTTCAAGTCTTTTGCCCACTGTTTTAGGAGTGAGTGAGGGTGTTCACTGTTAACTTGTAGGAGTTTTTTATATATTCTAGATAGAAGTTCTTCATCAGAAATATGTTCTGCCAAAAATATTTCTTCTAGATTTTGGTTTATCTATTTGTATTCTTTTAGTTCACAATACAAACATGTACCATTGTATCTGGCTTCTATTCATATGCTTAATGGTGTCTTTGATAAGATATTTAAAATTTTGATGAAGTCCAATTTTGAGAATTTTTTGTTTTATGGTTAATGATTTTTGACCCAAACACCTTTTTTTTTTTTGAGAAATTTTCTTTTATCTTTTATTGATTTTTTAAAAATACCCTACAGCAGTGGAATGCATAACAATTCTTATTACACATATAAAGCACAATATTTCATATCTCTGTATATAAATATATTCACGCCAATTCATGCCTTTATACATGTACTTTGTGGGGTTTTTTTTGCATTACAATTCTTAATACACATATATACCACAATAATGCTCTTACATTTTTAATTTTTGTTTTCATTGTTGTTGGTGTTGTATAATTATATGCAATTGTGGGATTCTTTATGAACAAAACACAATTTGATCAATCATGTTCCCTACTATCTTGCCTTTCCCTGCTCTTTTCCATCCCCCTAATTCACTTGCGCTGCTCAAACAACTTTCTATTATTATTTATTTTAATTAGTAAATTATAATTATATATATAAATATATGATTTTTCTGTAGTATACTCATACATGGACATAGCATAATTTGGTAGATTTTACAATTATAGGTTGTTGATTTTTGTTATTTCAGTACTGTAAATATTGCACTGGATTTTCTTCCTCTTAGTATGGTTTCATTGGAGTTGTTGGATGCAATGCTTACTTTTGATTATTATACAAAAGTACATACAAGAGGAAGTGAGGGGAAAGGGAAAAATAATACAAGGGGGAGAAATGAATGACAGTAGAGGGGGTAGAGAGAGAAGAGGGGAGGGGAGGGGAGGGGAGGGGGGATAGTAGAGGATAGGAAAGGCAGCAGAACACAACAGACACTAGTATGGCAATATGTAAATCAATGGATGTGTAACTGATGTGATTCTGCAATCTGTATATGGGGTAAAAATGGGAGTTCATAACCCACTTGAATCAAAGTGTGAAATATGATATGTCAAGAACTATGTAATGTTTTGAACAACCAACAATAAAAAATTTTAAAAAAAAGAATCTGAACTTGGGGATATTGGCAAAATTAACCATCAATAGAAAAAAAATCAAAGAAAAAATCTGAAAATTGTAACATCAAGATATGGGGAAACTGCAAAACATGTAACATATGTTTGATGATAATACCATGAGGGAAAGACAAAAGGCAAGAAGCAGAAGAATGTTTCAAGCGACCCAAACACCTTTGAAAAGTAGATCACATCATACATTCCCATATAAGATTCTTCATTAGCCTCCCACATTTTTGGAATAGCTCTTGAGTCTTTGCCTTGACCCTCAAATTCATGATTGATGTGGTTCTCAGTGAACCTCTAACTTCATGTCACATCCTTCTCTTTTCTGACAGTGCCCTAGTAACACGAATCTTATTTCTGTTCCTTGACACAACAGTAGCATGTTAGGCTTACTCCCATTTTACAGTCTGAGCACTCACTCTGCCCTGTTCCAGAAATACTCCTTTTTCACCTTTCTGTGTGGATTGGTCCACCTCATCATTGGGTCTGGGCTCACATACCACCTACTCAGAAGGCCTGACATACTTCCTTTACTAAAGTGACTACCTACATGCACTGTGCATCTCATCATTTAATGTTTTTCCCTTTGAAACATTTATCACAGAGAAATATCTAACATTTATGTATCTGTTCACTTGTTTCTTGTCCATCTCTCCTACTGGAATGACAAGCCCATAAACCCTGTCCTATTCAACACTAGGTCATAACTTGTTAGACAGTAGTCATTTTATGTTAAACTCATAAAATTAGTCTCTTGGAAGTGTTAAGGTAAGGATCCATTGAAGGGCTGGCATATTCCATAACATGTACATGTGTGTGTGCATACATCTGTGTGTGCATGTGTGTGTGGGAGGGTAGGAGGTGGTAGATTGATGTAGTAGTCCCAATAAACCAAATTTGACTATTGCAAAGGTTTGTCCTTCACCAGTAGCTTCAGCCTCATGAATATTCAGCTTTTTCCATTTTGAATTGATTTGAGGGAGCTATTCTTTTTTTAATATTTATTTATTTATTTTAGGTGTAGATGGACACAACACAATGCCTTTATTTTTATGTGGTGCTGAGGATCGAACCCAGGTCCCGCCTGTGCTAGGCAAGCGCTCTACCGCTGAGCCACAACCCCAGCCCTATGGGAGTTCTTCTTTTGATCTTTACATTCCACAACATGTGCATCTTCTCTGTGCCTTTGCACATCCTTGTTTCTCTAAAATTCCCTCTCTTGTCCCAGAACAAACAACATGACCTACATGAAGACTTAGTTGACTTCTCCAGAAAGAGATCGGGATCCTCCTTTAGTGCCCTGTTTTTTGGTCATCCTTCTATTATGGCATCTTTAAATGCTGCTTCAAAATATGTTTACATGACTTCCTCCCTGTTAGACTGGGAGCTTCCCCCAAACTAGGTTATCTCTGTATCCTCAGTTCTGGGAAGAATAAGCACTCAGCAAATATTACTGAATGTCAAATGAATAATCGAGCATATAATAATGATAGCATTGTGTCTGAAAGAAGAGAACTATGTCATATCAATACCTCTAGATAATGATATCCTAAGTAACATGTGATGAGTTGTTGATAGGTAGCACCTTCTCCCCTGCATCTCAGGAGATGAAAGCCTAGAAATTACATGCCCCAGAATCCCTCCCTGAAGAGTTATATTCTACCTGGTACAGTTTGCCAATCAGAGGTATTACTCAAATTTAACACATGGAAATTGAAATGGAGCAGATTATATGCATGTATGAAAACATCAAAATGAACCCCACTATTAATTGTAACTATAACATACTACAAAATACCTTATATAATATGGAAATGACAAGCTGCTATTGTTCATGTATGACTGATAGAATAAAACATGAGCTTTAAAGTAGCTTCTGCATGTTCCTCTGTGATTTACTGACTTCTGAGCTACAAAAAGCTGAAATAATCACTAATGGTTTAACACGATTCTAGTATCTCTGATTTTCTTAATTCTATTTTATGCCCTTGGCACTCTGAAGAATCTGCAAGCTTACAATACTTATATTAAGTTCTCTGATCATGCACTGATTTGCAAAAAATTGATATGTATGGGGAAAAATTTTTGTGAAAAGAGGAGAATGGAAGAATTGATTCCAGAAATCTTAACAAACTTTCCATCTATTAATATTTACTGAGTTGGCTATATTTTTGCAACTGGAAAATCAACATCTACATTATCACAGATAATGATGCACATTAGGGATATGAATTCTGTAGGTCTTCCTCAGAAGTAGATTTTTCTAAAAAATGTTTCAATATGATAACAATTAGCTGAACCGCCAAAATTAAGGGGCAAGAAAAAAAGCTGGCCAAATGCCTAGGAATAATTTTTACATATTAAAAAGTGAAAAACATGGAGAGTCTTTTAGCTAAATCCTTCTCCTACACAAGCCTCACCAACAGGAAAGCTTGAAAAAGTCACAATTCTCAGACCTGGGGGCAGGGATTCTCCTGTTGAATTACTGCTGTTGGTTCTGGTGTTAGATGCCTGGAGAACATGATTTTTTTGTTGTTTGGGAAATACAATTTTACTTCCTGGCCATCTTCTTTCTAAGAAAACAAAAAGTAACACTTTTTACCTTTGAGAAATTATCTCAGTCTCATTCCAGTTGGGGAGTTCTTAAAGACAGCTATAGGACGTATGCCCTTCCTGATGGAATGCTGTGTTCCTGGATGCTCTGCCTCACTTGGGCCTAGAGGTGTACATAGTGTGGGTTTAGACAGTGCTATGGAGGTTTAATTAGAGATATCCACTATGCTAACATTTGGCATCTCCAGGGTTCTCCCAGGGCTTCTAGCCTAACTTGCAAGATGGAAAAAAAATATTTTCATGAGAATTACAAAAGGAAGCAAATTGGTCAGATAGAGCTCCTCCCCTCACAAGGAGTCTTGGGAGCAGAACAGGCAATGTTCTAGAGAGGGCTGTGCATGGAGAAGAGTGCAGGCTTTTGGTAAAGTGATGAAGCTTAAGCATAAGAGCAGGATAGTAGAGGAGTGTTGTTACCTGACCCCCTCAGAAAAGTGGCCAAAATCATAAGCTGCTTAGCTTGAGGAGATTTCTAAAAGAAGAGGAATGCAGGGCAGAACTTAATTCAGGAGTGAGTATGGAATCAGGCTGGGAGCATACAAGGAATCACAGGGAGCATGGAGAAGTTATTTAAGAACCAGACAGCTTTGGCCCAGCCAACCTGTCAACACTCTCCTGTTCTAAGAGTTTAGAAGATCACAGAGGTACACTACTGCTTTTCTGATCATAGCTCAAAACCCATGAGGGATAGAATGAACACTGAAAGTAGAGGCTACATATTTGGGCTCTAGTCCAATCTCTCTATGAGCTTCAAATCTGCAACCAGATTAAAAATTACTGTCCTCTACCCTGTACTATGGTACTAATTCTCAAAGAATTAATGAATGTCAAAGCACTCTGTGCATGACAGCTCTTCTAACTCCTGGCACAAGTACCTCCCATCTCTTCACATCTCTGGGCCCCTCTAACTGACAAAGAAAAACATGAATTCTATAATTTTATACTAGTGCTTCCAATGATTCAACTTCATACATTCCTGAAACACATATTTAACACTTAAACCCGTGTTTGGTACTAGGGGTATGTATGGAAGGGAATAATAAATGATCTCTGGTGTCCATCTGATTAACTTTTGTGATTAACAAGTTAGAGGAAAAGAGGGGTGTGTTAGTTATTAGACCCTAAAACTCTAGCAACTTAAAGCCTCCTCCCAAGAGAAGGGAGGAATTCGCTTAATACCCTATGCTAGGGACACATTGTGATGGCCTTCTCCAAATCACACACTGACCCAACTGTGTGGTATTTTAAGATGCAACAGATTGGCATGTGACTTTATTGTTTCCTAAAGATTGCCGAAGAAATATCAAATATGGTCTCTACCTTCGAGGGACCTATAATTTAATTGAGGAAACAGAGATAAAGGAAGGAATAACTAGAGCAGGTATATTAATACTTAATGAGGAATGGAGTGGTGGGGTCAGAGAAAGGAGAGGGCAAACAAAATCAGAGGACACAAAGGAGGTAGGAATTCATTTGGTCTACAGGATAAGGGAGATTGGGATAATGTGAGAATGGCAGCAAAGGATAGTTCCTATTGGTACAGCAGTATGCCTGGTATCCTAAAGAGGGGTGTGTGTGTGTGTGTGTATGCATGCGTGTGTGTGTGTGCGCACATGTGTGTTGGATCACAAGACTGAAAATCATCTTGACTGGAGCAGGGCTCAGTGTTAGCTTAGAACAGGGATCAGAACTGGGTTCCCTGGCACATGCCTATAGTTCCAGCTACTGGGGAGACTGAGACAGGAGAATCACAAGTTCAAGGTCAGCCTCGGCACTTTAGTGAGACACTGTCTCAAAATAGCCCAGGGGATATAGTGGTAGAGTACCCCTGGGTTTAATCCCCAGTTGTGAAAAACAAACAAGCAAAGAATAGGAATCAGAAGTTAAACAGATGTAGAGGCAAGAAATGAGGGCTCTTGGTTCTGGGCTGAAGAGTTCATATCCTAATGTAAAATGGGAGGAACTAGGAACTTTGAGACAGACCAAATTATGGTATATGCATATATGAATATGGCAAAATGAATTCCACTATTATGTATAATTGTAATACACCAAAAAATAATGTCACAACCTTCTGAAAGAATTAGTATGACAAGTGTTAGAATTTAGTGCTTGTTCTAAAGTAAGTAGTGGCAGCAATGATTAAAACTATTTAATACCATCTCATTCACTCAACTCCAGCATCAAAAAACCAGGCCCTGTTTTGTACATATTACAGGAAGCCCTGAAGGAATAATCAGAATTGACACTTACCCAGCAAGTGGAGTACAGATGTTGCCACTGCCTTTCCAAGAGCATTGGTGGCTGTGCAAACATAGGTTCCTTCATTTTCAAGGGAAACATTCTGCAACAACAGGGATCCATTGAAAAGCAAGGAAATATTGTCACTCAGAGATCCTCCTCTCTTCAACCAAGTTACATTAGGCTGAGGGACACCTTTGGAACAAAAACAAATATGACAAAGGCAATTCTTTAGGAACAGGGCCACAGAACCACATGACAAATACCATCTAGTATTTTGTCTATAAGTGAGCAAATGGGTTTAAGATAAATAAAAGGAAAAATGGCTATTTTTACTTTTTACACCTTTTCTTTGGCAAGTTCATGGGAATCCTGTCAAAGCAAAGTGCTGGGTCTGCTGAGCACCTGGAAGTTTTATGTGTATGTTAAGGAACAGGAGCCAGAGTGAGAGGCATTGCTCTATATGGGTAAGGGAGGGAATTTTGAAGTTGGCTGGGACAATGGGAGAGTGATTGCAAAGGAGCTGCTGAAGCTGGGGGAATATGGAGGAAGAGCCAAAGAGAGAAATTCCAAGTAGTGAGCTGTCACAAAGAAGCTTTTGGAAAACAAATGCAGATAGATCTTAAGTCCTTTGCTGTACAGAGGCAATGAAACATCCCTCTTTGAGAAACATTATAAAATCTTGAGAGAAACATATTTTTTAAAAAGGTTTTTCATCATAGATGGACACAATATCTTTATTAATTTATTTATTTTTATGTGGTGCTGCGGATTAAACCCAGTGCCTCACACATGCTAGGCAAGTGCTCTACCACTGATCCACAACCCCAGCCCTACAATGGTAATTCTGAAAACACCCATGTCTGCCTGTCCAATATTAACTTCTCCCTGGAGGTCAAGCCTCCCAGATATGAACATTCCCTGAGGGGTCTCAAACTCTGTAAATCCATAGTCAATCCCATCTGTCTCCTCTAACTCCATTCTTATTCCCTTTTATCATCACAGTGCCCCATTTACTCCAGCCATCCTGTCTCACACCCATTCTTGGCCCTCACCTACTTTTCATTCTCCATGTCTAATTTGCCATAAAGTTAAAAAAAGAAATAATTCCTGAAAGCTCTCTTGGACTTTTCCCTTTTCTCCATTTTCAATAGTCAGTGCTGGAGCATTGAGCACAGTTCTCATCTTGATGAAACAACTTCTTACTGAGTTCCCTATGTCCAAACTATCCTCATACAAGGCCAGCAGGAATAAGGTGCTTAGAGACCCCTGCTGGCCCCGGCTGCCCATAGATGCATGGAGCCTGATATTCCCTGTTCTGCACCCCTTAGCTCTAACTCCAACCAACTGCCATGTCCCTCCTGCCACAGAGCTCACAGTATAGTTAAGTCACTGCTGTCAACAAGCATGCCCAGCCTGCCATCTATCTTTGGCTCTGATTTCTCAGTTTGTGACTCTCCTGTTTGTGGCTGTATTTATACCTTGTGGGAAGTCCCCTGAGACACTCAGTTGGTTAAATACCCCTTGTGACTCTTGCACTTTGCTCACATTGACACAAGTACATTTATAACATTATGTCATGACCAGCATAGGATACCATCTTTCTGGAAGTTGCCTGTTGGGCATGCTCAGTAAAAGTTTGTTGAACTACAAGTGCTCTCAGTCCTACGGAGGATCTGCCTGTCCTGGGGTTCACCTGCTGTCCAGGCCTCAGGAAATGTTCTGCTACATTTACACTCCTGGCTGGTTAAGGTGTTGTGATAAATCAAAGCAAGAATCCCAAGTGAAGGATGTCATCAAAAAGTATCCAGTCCTGCAACTTTGCTCTGCTCTGGCAACTGCAGCCCAGAGTTGCCTGACTCTGCTGGCTTCCCCTGGCTTAAGAGGGACCTCCAAATCTTCTCTGGAACTCAGATCACCAGATGCCTTAGCCCCATGTAACTACATATATGGGACTGGTTCCTATGTCAGGTGTTCTCTTTAGGCACCCCCATTTCAATAGTTTCGAAATGCAGAGCTAGGTTGGTGAAGATTGTCATGTGACATTGCACTCCAGGAGCCTGGCTTTCATCTCAGTAGACCTTAATGCTCAACAGAATTGAAAACAAAAAACCAAAAACTCCTCAAAATGATTTTTAATGGGTCCATTTTGTTCCTGAGTTATTCTGATGCTCTATTACTTTCTAGTTGCTTTATATCCCCCATGTCTTTCCTCAAATCACTGAGCAATAGAGACAACATAAAGGCTGCTTAGACCACCCACTCACTCCCAAGCTCCTGACATTTCTAAGTAATCAAGCATTCATCCATCCAGCAAATATTTTGTGGTCACTGAGTGTCAGCACTGTTTTAGGTGCTTGGATCATAGCTTTTCCGGAATGCTGAACATCAGCTTTTCCCGCTGCTTGGCTTTCAGGAGAATGAGATGCCTCTCAGGAATCTGGTTCCTTCTCCAGCAATCTAATAAGACAACCTAAGAGCCTCTGACTTGGTTCAAAGCCCCAAGCAAAAATCAGCCAGATTCACCTCGAGAGTCCCAGAGCAATGTTGTGTACACAGGAGGCTTATTAAAGTAAATTGAGTAGAATAAACCAAAGGTCAGGGAAGTTGTTTTGAGCTATATAATTACAGCTGTTTTCTAAAGAAGATGAGACCTTTCCCTTCAGAACATCTTGGAAGATTTGGAAGCATGCCTTTGCAGGCAAGAGCTGCATAATAGCAAGAAAAGTATGTGGGGTTCCTATAGCTATCTGAGGGATCAGAGGTGGAGACGAGGAGGATTGGGAGCAGGAAAAGCCTGGGTGATCGGATACCTTTGCCATGATCTCTGAATTTTCACACTTGCTTAATTTCCAAATGCTGGCTTGTTATTAATGATGTTTTGCTATGAATGGAAACCAGTCAAGGAGCTGAGTTCTGCTTCCGGATCGATGAAGGGCAAAAGAGAGCTAGGACCATTTAATGCAAGAGCCGAGGGCAAGAGGGCTCAGGCCAGGGCAACCCCAGAGACCTGTCAGAAGTCAGGTCCAGAAGGCTCTGGAATGTGCAAAATCTGGAACTGACAGGGGTCAGAGGCAATCACACATGAATGTAAGTCTCAGCGTGGGAAGGAGATGAGACTGAGCTTGCATAGTTAGTAATATTTTGCATATACTTGGAATTTCAGAAAGCAAAACAGAACATGGCAAGGTTTTAATGCAAAAGGGACACAAAAGTCCCAATGCTGAAAGGAGAAGCAGACCCTGGAACCCAACACAGAGAAGCATCATTACATGTGTGACCACTGTCAAAGAACTGACAAGGCCAAAGGAAACTCAGACAAGATTCTTTGTACTACTGCTCTTCGACATCTTTTAGAACTACAAATGTTTACCCTGTTGAAACAGCTATAAAATGTCAGAAGTAGTTTAAACTTGTTTATCTAACCTCAAAGACAGGCTGTTTCCCGCAAGACTTATAGCTCTGAAATATTCAGCGTTCTGTTTCCACAATGCTGAAATCGTTTTTGGAAAGCAAATGTTATGGAAAAAAGCATCAGATCTGGAGGGGCCGTGAAACATGTGCTGCAAAAAGTCTGCACCTCTAGGGTGTCTTTAAAATAGTCAGTGTTTAAAAACAAATTTCCTTCATCCTTGAAAGCCTATGAAATATTCCACACTATAAAATCCTTGGCCTATTCAGACTATTTTAAAATGCTGGATCTCTATATAAATATATATTATTCCTATATGTTCTTGTTCATTTGTTTGTTTCCTCCAGCTACTCAACACTCAGACAATATTCTGCATTTCTCCCCACATACAAAAGATTGAAGTTGCCATTAATTACCTCCAGGGAATCATGAAGAAATGATGTGGCCAATTTATAAGATAAGCAGCAAATTGAACACAATGTAGGCAAACCACAAAGGGAGCTGTCACTAATAAATGAGATAAACAAACAAGAGTTCAAGTTTCCAGTGTCAGAGAAAATTATCTTGAAGCTATTAGGATAAATACATGATGTGAACATACTTTATATACAAAGATATGAAAAATGGTGCTCTATATGTATAATAAGAATTATAATGCATTTCACTGTCATATATTTAAAAAAATAAAATCAATAAAAATATTTAAAAAAGAAATACAAATGACCATAAAAAAAGAATTTACTCTTCTCAGGCACAATTGTCATGCCTGTAATCGCAGTGGCTTGGGAGGTTGAGGCAGGAGAATTGCAAATTCAGGGCCAGCCTGGATAACTTGGTGAGTCCTTAAGCAAAATAAAAAACAAAAAAGGCTGGGGACATGGCTCAGTGGTAGAGCACCCTTGGGTTCAATCCCCAGGAACATAAAAAACAATAAAAAATAATGTATTCTTCAACTACAAGGTCAATCTGCACCACATAGGCAGTTTCATAAGGAAGGTTCCTCTTTTGAGTTACCTGCATAACCTTTTGTCCTTTCTTGGCAATATATCATCTATGCTTTTTTGATATGAAGAACTATTCATCAGTGATGCCATATCCAGAAGTCTCTCTGAATACAAGGCTATGGTTTTCGCCATCTAGAGAATTCTCCCCAATATTTGTTGAAATACTTTTCGTAAAATGATGTTATCAGATTGATATCATTAGTTCCCCAAGCATTTTGATTTGGGGATTTAGAACTCTTTGGGGTCACAGCATCCATTTCAACTTCATAATTAAAAGTCCTGCCTTCTGACATGGAGGAAGGCTGGTCAAGTCCTTTCCCAAGTCTGGTCATCTCTGACCTCTCAGGTATCCTGAGCTTCTGCTTAACTTGAGACTGGGTAGTTCTCCCTAACTCTGCCAATTGTATCCCATGAGCACTACATGTTCAATTCTGGATATTGTCTTCTGGGGTCTCATCTATAGGTTAGAAAGTACCCATGAAAATTATTTCATAAATTGTCTAAAAACCATTTTTTTTGGTTCTTTGAGGAATGATTCAAAGTAAAGGTGTTGTAAGTCAAGCATAATAACATACATTGGAGCTATGTAAGTGTTGGAAAACACTGGTTCTAGTACAGAACAGGAGGAAAATGGTTAGACAATAGTTCAAAAGAGGAGAAGCTGGGTATTGCTGAGGCTCTTCCTGACAAACAGCAATTTTGGTAATCTATCACTCTAACACCTTTATCCTTACTGAATAGCTGCAGTTTAAAATAATGCTTATTTTATACAGCATGAT